CGGGCTGGGGGGTTTACCTTGAATTGCCAGCATTTGCTTTGCGACTTCTGTGTGGCGAGTTATAGCCCAGCTGTTCGCTAATGTCACTACCAGCCATCGCTCTGCATGTTATACCAGCAGCCAAATGACACCATGTTCATGCTAAAGCCCCCGACGGCCGGGTACCGCAAGCTCGATCTTAGCGGCTCAACACCAGATCAATTACTTCACTTCCTACATGAGATACACCGAGCTGCCAGACCAATTAGCGCAGAAATTTCCCTCCGAGACTATTTTGACGTATTGGAAGCAAGTGATTCCGGTATTTGCCACCTGTATTTATGACTAAATGAGGGTTAGACCATCAGTGAATGCAAGCACCACCTGCTGGGATTGACAGATTTTACAGCCACACCAGCCAGAGTGACGTTTAGAAAGTCAATATACTGGGACTTGCCCCAGATCTGGCACTGCAATGGGTCTAAATTTACCTTCAACCCATCTAAGAGACCTTAACCAACGAGGAACATTCTAGAACAAACCGTCTCTCTACGCAGAGTCTCTCGTTACGCTATAGAGGAGAATCTTACACGTCTTATCAGCTGAAGACTGCAGTAGAGCAGATGTTTTGCTTACTCTTTTTCATTGAGCTAAACTAGCCGCCCGCATTCTATACCTCGCTAGACACTTGCGTGGTTAATATCTACTACCGGATCTAGCCTAGTCCCGTACTTTCTTGAATCCTAGCTTAGCTTTAAACTAACCGAATTCGTATCAAGTACGAAGGGGATGAATTTAGTTTATTAGAAGCAATGCTTTATATGGACGACGTCTTTCGTAGGTACTTAGATAGAACACCGTTTCGCAGAACGCTTAGCGTTAAAGCATATTCGCTTAATACTCTCATAAAAATACAATTTAGCCCTTTTAACGGACGGTTTTATGATATTAGTGGCTGTCTATACAAGTTAGGGCATTTAATTAAGCATTATAAACAAGGTTGGTTTATAAATAGCTAAGGAGATAGATAATGCGATAAGATTAGAAGCGTCTTAGTTAGACTATTACAGTAAGAACTGGATCGACTTATAGAGACAATAAGATTAATTTTGTAGTGAAATAATATATAAGTAAATACCCTATTAAACGTTTTAACCTCCCTATTTAAATTTCTTTATAAGCGATAATACATCCCGCTTCTTAATCCTAAATAGTGGTAGTAGGTGGCGAATATCTTGCTTTATTAGGGTAGCGGGGTGGTAAACCTTCTACGCTAGTGGGGAAATAACTTTTAGATCAGGAGATTCCATAACTGGTGTGGAAATGGCTGGCGGGGAGGCACACATCTCCACACTCCGGCCGTCTTAAACACCGGCAGAGGAGTATCTCGTGTGTTCGGGCATGGATTGTCAAGTTCCATGTCGTTAAGGCTGCTAGGTGAAGATTCACTTATCGCTACGGGCAATAATAAAGACGACCTTAACGAACTCATAGCCTTAAGCACTGCGACTCCCTTGCCGGGTTTTAGTATACACGCATCCACCTCACATGGCCTAAGAAGCCCACGCTCATCAATCTGAAGAAAGCTCTAAGCTAAACCGGGCTGCGATTAGTAGCCGCTAATGCTACTATTGGGTCTTCTTGCAATAACAACTACATTAACGTTATATTACCGAAATAGAGTATTAGCTTTAAAAAATATTCCCTAGCTACAATTAAGTGCCCTAACCTCCGGTCTTTTATTAACCTTAGACCGTAGCCGCCTTAGCATTTTTAGAGAAAGGTTTAAGAGATTATAGCACAGTTGCGATAGTTGAGAGGTGAATGAGATAGGACCTTATAGCCGTTATCTTTATGTTACAGCTCTTATTATATTAGTAGCCCTTTAGTCACAAAACCCTCGCGTAAATGTGCGAGCCGTATTATTATAAGATCTAGTAGCAAAGACCTTAGGTGATATTAAAGCGCCTTGCCGCTCGTGTGGGTCGCTTAACCTTCTAGACACGTTCAGGTTATAATAACCGCCGCCTTAATGTAGGCGCCCATTAACTTTAAGATTTCTAAATTTAGTACTAGGCAAGCAAATGCTTGGTTCCTATTAGTAGCATAGCCGTTAGAACTATTAAAACTACACCCTACGCGGCACCCACGTTAATACGTTCTTATTATTATTAACTAGCATTATATTCCATAGCTTTTCACAGTAATTATCAACAGACACTATAAATAACTAGAATTTATAGTATATAATAGCTTTATTTAGCTTCATATATCTTGCTACTATTATATAGACTTTTAAGAAAGCAGTCGCAAATCCAAAACTATTCCTTACTTAACATTTCCGGTATCCCCTAGTGCTTCCCAGGGGCTAGTTTAACATTATAAGGGTGCAAGCTATAATTGTAATTATCTTCGTTTGCTCTAATATTGTGATAATTCTAGCCCCTTCGTTTTTAGCAGATTAAAGGAAGCTTTAACAACAAGCCGCCTTAGCTACGGCAGTGAATTTAGCACCTCTTTGTTTAGGTGGACGAGCTCCGGTTATTAATGCTCTTGACATCCCTCGGCGGTGGTATACTATTATCCACTTTACTTTAGGTTGCATCGCGATAATATAAGGAATATGCCACGCAGTAATAGCTTTAGCTTATAAGCCAAAGCCAGGGTTGCTAACAACGTTTAAATGGGCTATAAGTGTTACATAAAGAGGAAAATATGCTAGTTGTGTTAATGCTTATAGGTATTTGGATCTGTTCTCGCGTCTTCTATTCTTACTATTCCTGTAATAAGGCGATATCTAGGCAAATGGTTCCAATAGTTCCATAGGGCCGCGTCAATCGGGGCTATGGTTGCCCTAATGTGGCATATCTTCCAGACATCATCCAAATAAGGTTAAATTCTTGTCTGTTCCTCGTGTGGATTATAGCTCTTAATAACCACGATACGACTATTTAAGATGCTACACCACAAGCGTACGGCCGAGGTAACATACGTTTCTAATAGTCCTAATGCCGTCTTTATTAACGTGAGACTACGCCGCCCTATTTTACTTAAACCCGGCTATTACTTCTATATTTTCTTCCCAACGACTTGGCTACTAGTAGCTTAGATAAGGTATAACTTTCTCCATAGCATCACAGCAATCGCGCAATATAATTCGCCTACTAACGAAAGCGGATTTGTATTAACTACAAGCTTCCTCCTCTCTCGCCACGGCAACCACGAAACTGCTATCTTAAAGCTCTAAGAGGGCAGCCTCCTATTTCTTAATAGGCCTTATAGTTAAGAAATAGACTTATTAAAAGAGGACACGTTGATTTTAGTAGTAAAGGGTATAGGTATTACTAGAGTACTTCCGCTAGCTACAGATCTCGCCTTACGCCGAGATCATAACAACCGTATAAAAGAGCGGACCTAGGACCTAACGGAAAAGCTGTGAAGAGAAGGTTAAAATAAAGAACTCTCTAAAGAAATTGCCTACGTTAAAGCTATGCATTTATTTTAAGATGCTACTAAGAAGGTTATACTATTCTAGTCTTTAAAAAGCAATTTATAAATGGAATGGATTAAGAAATAACTTAAATAGCTCTAGGAGATAGATCCTTATAACGTAAGTTTTATTTGTCTTAATTAAGCTTTTATTAATTTACCTAGAAATTACTTGTGGTTTAGTGCTAGTATCCCAATCTTTAAACTAGCCACGAACCCTTTAACTTAGGATCCCGCTTCTAAATGTGCCTAGATCCTAGTATAACCCTATTATTTGAGAAACTAATTCCAATGAAAATTCAAGAAGAACGATTACGTATGCTAGGGAGAATAACCGTTTTAGGTACGTAATATTAATTGCTAACTTGTAGCAGACTGCTAACATGTATAGCCTATAGCAACGAATATTTTACGGCTATAATACGAGATAGTACTATTAAGAGTCTCAAAGACAAGCTAGTCAAGTTTTTAGAGTCTAAGTATTAAAGCTGCGCTGTAACGAGAGTAAGCTAGAGGGAGAGCTAGAATAGTAGAAACCTGGTTAAAAAGAAGCGACCGCAACGTAAACTAAAGGCGCTAGAACTTTAGGATTAGGCTAAAAATAAATAAATAACCTATTTAACTGTATTAAAGGGGAGCTTTTATTCAGTGAAATTATAGTGATTCTTCATTTAAAAACCTAGGTATTTTAGTAGTTAGAAGCTCGTTACATATTAGTCTCTTTTACCCATTTAATTTTCCACTTCACTTCACAGTAAATTACCCCTCGCTATAATACTCTCTGTCTATTAGAAGATCGGAGGCAAAGAGGAACAAGGGGGCCCGTTAGTCTACCGTCCAAATTAAGATTAGGTGTACGAAAGATAGTAGGAGAGAACATTCGTTTAAGCAGTAAAACGTTAAATTTAAGTTAAGGCAGGCGATTAAATTTAACTGCTAGCGGTTTAGCAAGGGATAATAGGTATATATTCGGCTACTAGCCGGTCTTAATTCCCCTCTGCTTACACAACATTATACCCCAATCAGTTCAATTATGTTATTTCTTATTGATCTAAGCGGCTAGCTTATAGCTTTTACTAGTAAATTTATTAAAAACCAAAACATTTTAGAAAACTACATGAAAAAATAGGGGGCTAAGCCAGCTAAACGTAAGCCCCCTACTGTACTTGCGGCAATAGAGGCGGCGTTTCATAAGCCATCAAATGCTATATAGTATACTCGCCAGCGAAAGATTTTCATCCTCCACGAAGACTGGGTTAATAAATGTATTGAGAATAATAGCTGGATCCCACTAGAGGATAAATGTTACACTTTAGAGAGCACTAATTATACTAATAATATATATATATAAGTCTATATTTAGCTATAAAAGAGAGAATTATATGCGCTCTTTTTATAAGTATACTTATTATTAGGGTTATTTACTTATAATTAAGGGTTTACTCTTATTTAATTATACGTATATAATTAATACTTATAATAAGCAATTTATTTTATTTCGTCATTCATCTGCCTATCAGCACCGCTTCCGCATGCCCGGCCAAGAATCCGGGGGCGTAACCAACTTCTGGTACTCGTTCGACTACGGCTTGGCCCACTTCATCTCCTTCAATGGCGAGGCGGACTATCCCTACAGCCCCGAGTGGCCGTTTGCTCGAGACGTCAAGGGTGGTGAGTCCAAGCCCAAGAAGAACGAGACCTTCATCACCGACAGCGGTCCGTTTGGCGCTGTCGACGGGAGCATCTACACCAAGGAGTCGTACGAGCAATACCGCTGGCTGGAGAAGGATCTTGCCAGTGTCGACAGGAAAAAGACACCGTGGGTCATCGCCATGAGCCATCGACCCATGTACAGTTCGCAGGTGTCAGATTACCAGAAGAACATGCGGGATGCGTTCGAGGGCTTGTTCTTGAAGTACGGTGTTGATGCGTACTTGTCTGGGTGGGTTCAAACCATTGGAACCGCGAATCGTGTGAATGACGGCTGATTTTAATCTTCCCCCCAAGTCACATTCACTGGTATGAGCGAACGTTTCCCCTCGGGAACAACGGCACCATCGACAAGGACGCCATTATCAACAACAATACGTTCCGCACCAACCCTGGCAAATCCATCACTCACATCATCAACGGCATGGCTGGCAACATTGAGAGTCACATGACTCTTGAAAAGGGCCAGTCTCCGCTGAACATTACCTGCGTGCTGGACCAGTTACATTACGGGTTCAGCAAGCTGACCATTCACAACGAGACGGTGCTGACGTGGTCGTTTGTCAAGGGGAGCGACGGAAGCAGCGGCGACGACTTTACTCTCATCAAAAAGGGGTCTGGTTCTGGCAGCGGCAACTCTACCGCAGCTTCTCAGTCTGGTATCGCTACCACGGATAAGACGAAGGGCACAAGCACCGCTGCTGCGGGTGGCATCACCACCGTCACCGAGGTGGTCAACTCTTATACCACCTACTGCCCCGGCTCGACGACGCTCACGCAAGGTTCCAAGACATATGTTGTGTCCAAGGTAAGAAAAACTCGCGTATCGACTTCAGTTCCGTCGAAGCTAATGGGTTTCCAGGCGACTATCTTGACGATTACCGACTGTCCTTGCACTCTGACGCACACCCGGTCTCTGCCAAGGTATGCTGGGTTAACCAGGCGTTGAAAAAGACAAACACTAATGGGATAATTAGCGCCCGCATTTCATCTGCCGCCATCTCCGGCAACAGAACGGCTACCCCGTCTGGATACGCCCCCAACAAGACAGAGGGCGGCTCGAGCCTTGCGCACCTCACATCCCAAGGCCAGCAGCCTACTCCTTCAGGACCTACATCCCGCCCAGCGGGAGCTGTAGGCACGACTGCTTCCGTGCCCGTGGCTCAGGGTGGTCGAATTGGTGCGGATGCTTCTCTTGTTGGATTTGCAGCTCTTGCAGCGGCTGCTGCGGCTCTAATGTAGGCAACGAGAGGCTGTTCTTTAGCTGTATTCCTTGACGTGTAGATAGGCCCGTAGAAGTTTCGGCGGTCGTTTGACAAGAGCTCCGAATCGTGTAGTTTGTTTCAATAAAAATGCATACTAGTGGTGTGTGGTCAAACAACGGATGCAATGTGAGGTGGACTTGTCACTTGCCTAGGTGTCACACTTTAGAGGGCACCAATTGTAACGATAATGTATATATACAAGTCTATGTCTAGCTATAAAAGAGAGAATCGTATGTGCCCTTTTTATAAGTGCGCTTATTATTAGGGTTATTTACTTATAGTTAAGGGTTTACTCTTATTTAATTATACGTATATAATTAATACTTATAATAAGCAATTTATTCTAATATAGCTTTTAATTAAGCCTATTATTAAGGCCTATTATTAAGGCTATTATAAGCTCTCTTTTTCTTATTTAAATGCTTAATTAAGCGTTAAAGCTATAATTATAAGCTTAATTATATATATCTTACCTTTTCTTAACGTTTTAATTAACGTGATCTTTTATTAATTAAAAGTTAATTTATTAACTCTTTATTTATTAAGGTAAGTTAAATATAAGCTATACGTTCTTATTAATTATACTTATTTTACTTTTATACGCGTAACTTATTAATATTATTAACTTCTTTTTTCTTTATTATATATTACTTCTTTAATTATAATTATATTTT